ACAATTTTGACAGGGAAGACATGACCCTAACTAGGGATGACCATAACTTAGGGATAAAATATGAGTCCCCGTTAGGGAAATCTGTTCATTTAGATTGCCAGATATCGGGAAGTTTTGCTATGGGAAGGGTGTGTGAGTAAACCTTGGTTCACCATAGTTTTGTTTTGTGTTATGAATGGGGTCGTGATATACCAACCAGACAAACATTTCATGATTCCATGTTTTGCACGCTATCAAACTTTGACCATGAATTGCTGACATGCGTTGCAGCCACAACCCATGCCTAACCCACGAAGTGGTCCAGGGCCGCCTCTGTTTACTTCAGGCCCCTTTCGCGGACTTCCGGTCCTTGTGAGGACGATCGCCTTCAAGAGCAGGGCCGGCCTTTTAACCACTGGCCGCCGCCTCATCGATAGCCAGTCAGAAGAAGCTTCAAAGGCGTCTTACGATGCTTCTCGCCAGGCCAGGGCAATTGCGGCTGCCATTTTGGAAGGATTCAGTAAGCCTTCTGAAGCGAGGGCACTGAAGACCTTGTGGGCCCTCAAGACCAATTCGAAGGCCTCCACGACGGTGAGTGCCGTCTTGCAGGACCTTGACTCACTCATCGGATTGCTCATTGTTTCAGACGAGCTCCAGGAGGTCAAGATGCAGACTGCAAAGGCTGTGCGACATGTGGCAGCTTTCCATCTTACCGGGGCTTGTAGTTGGCCTTGGCGCCCACCGCTCGCTGACCTGCACGTCATTCTCAAAGGGAGTGCTGGAGTATGCGGATTTTCTGGACTTTTGGCTTACGCGCTGCCCAGTCAGCAGTGCTGGGTTTTTCCACGCCTAGTCCCTTCTCTCTTCGTTGATTGGTGTGCTTTTGGCACGCCCTGGCAGAGTCTCACTTTCTCATGATGCAGACTTTGCATGTTGTTGAAAATCGAGTGGTCCATTTATTTTCCTTTTTGCTGGTACATAAAATCATTGTTTGATAACCACAACTGCACTGCCAACAAGTTGCGGGTTTCCATCAGTGACGGTATCCCTAAATTATATATCCACTGTATTTTCGGATTTTCCATTATACAGGATGGGGCCCCTAAGATAGCTAAGTTGCCTTATAAGTGGTTTAACTATGGTTTATGGTGGACATAACTATAGTTAATGGGTGTGATAATGGTATATAAACAAACTTGTAACTGGGGGCCCCATCCTGTACTGTAAACCATCCATTTTGTCATTTTGGAGTACCCCACATTTATGGAACCCCCCAAGTAAGTTCAGTTTGTCGAGCACGCCGCCCTAGGAAGGTCTTCTCAAGCTTCGGCGTCTTGACATGACAGGAACATACGGCTGCGATTGTCAAAAAATGGGGCTCTTAACCGCCAAGTCAATGGGAATTCCAGGATCCTAAAATGGAGGTACCTACCATATATAAGGCCTATTTTTTGTCAGGCCTATGTAAGGGAATATCCCCACAACATATGGCCCAAAATATGGTACTAACGTACCTCCATTTTAGGATCCTGAAGTTCCCATTGACCAAGTTATGCATTTAAATGGCCATGTATTAGTCATATAATTGGTTATAAACGGAATTATATACATTTTATAAATGGGGTTATGAGATGTTATAAGTACTTTAGTTATATATCTGGCTATAAATGGGATTACTGTATATACATTCTATAAATGGGGTTGTAAGATGTTAAAAGATGTTATAAGTACTTATAAGTGATAAAGGCTTCAACTGTATGGGATTTTATTGGGATACAGAGTCTCACTTTTATCCTATTCGTTGTCAGATCTTCAAATCTTTCACACCCATATTTCTGATGATTAGTTGGGAATTAAAGGATGAAATTGAAATTATGTAAATGTATATTTTTTAACCCCCGGGATTTAATTGACTGGAATCAACAAAGGCGGTTTGATCTGAAAGGAATGGAGAATATGCCATTCAACGCCCGGCCCCCAAATGGTGGAAGCGACGCTGAAATGGGGGAAAAATGACCACCACAAGTAAGAAACAAAACAGTAGATGCAAATTTACCGCTCAAGCTTGGTATCTATATATTTTTCGGCATTACTTAAGGATGCAAGCAAGAAGTAATTGGATTTAGAAGTGGCTAATGTTGATAATAATCACTGGTTGCTGGTTTGGAACAGCCATTTTTCCATATATTGGGAATGTCATCATCCCAACTGACTTTCATATTTTTCAGAGGGGTTGTCTCAACCACCAACCAGCCAATAGATGTTTATTAATCATTGGGTAAACCCATGTAAACCCCTATACCATCGCAATTTAACAGCTATTGAACATGGTCATTTATGATCATTTATGGTCGTAGTTGCAGGTTGGATGCATTGTGTCTCGTACCTACCAAAACCCTTTGCGCAACTCCTCCCCCCTTATCTGAACCTAGATACATTTTTTACTGTTCCACAATATATGGCATAATCCTTCCCATTGACGAACTCATATTTTAAGATGGTGAAAACCACCAACCAGATAACATGCTGGTTGACCATTGGAAAATGCTGGTTAATGCTTGAACGGTCGTTTCATGCTGGATAACGTAGCTATTGAAAATGGTCATTGATGGTTGATTTACCCACTAAAATCATTAAAATGATGATGATTTACCAACAAGCTATATACCCTCTGGTAAACTAACATAACTATGGAAAATCACTATGTTTAATGGGAAAATCCAATATAAATGGCCATGTTCAATAGCTATTTTGACATAACCAGAGGCTACGTGAAACTGCTGCCATGTCCAGCACGAAATGCTGCTTGAATCGAGTTGAATCCCGTCCAGCCCCCGATGATTCTTGTCGGCTTATAACCCCCACGAATTATAAATGCAACTAGCATAAAACATCGTTGACCTGGCGATCAATGGCTATAAACCAACTTAGCTCTCATAAATCAGCTATCATCCCATTTTTTATTTTTAGCACTCATCCCATGAAACTCCCATTTTTGTTGGTATAAAAAAACTCAACTGTTTCCTATGGTTTCTTTAGGGTTCCCCACCTTGCAGAGGTAAGTACTTGGTGAGGATCGTGAGCTCGCTCATCAAGAGACTTGGCGCAAAAAAAAGGCTTTTGTTTGTTTCATTTCCGGTCTCAATGTGTGTTTTGTAATATTTTAGCCCTGCGAAAGGTGGTTGACCTCCTCGAGGCATTCACACCGACGGCGTCGATTTTGGGTTCCCTCTCTTTGCGGGCACTCACCGACCAGTTTCCGTCTGATGACACGATCGTTGCAGCAGCCAAGGAACAGTCGAAGGCCGCAGCTGGCAAGGTGGCGATTGCGGCTGCATATCGCGCGGCTCTTTACCCGCGACTGCAACTTCTGCAATTGAGCCGATCATCGACTTCCCAATGTCAAGCGCAACGGTTGACGACAAGCTGGCGTGCTCAAGTATAAATATTTATGTTCGTATACTACTGGTATAAATAAACAACCACAGTTTTTTCTGCAATATCAAAATCAGCTTGGCCGCAGGCAGCATGTGGGTGTTTAGGGTTTTATCCTTGTATTCATCCACATGTTTTTTCAGGGGATGGATTGAAACCGACCACGCCCAAACTAGCTTTCAGGTACCCTCTGGTAAACAAACAGTTTGCTATTGAAAATGGCCATAGACATAGTTGAATTACCCATCAAAAGTTGTGCTTTTCAGTAACAAACTGTTGAATGTAAATTACCAGAGGGTAAGCCACGGATTATAAACCATGAAATAATCCCCATGAACTGTTCGTGAAATATCTACCATAAACCGTAGGTTTCAGGTACATCTTTCATTTTTGTTGTCCATATCTCTTGATGATTCGAGATGATTCGAGACATGTTGGTCAACTTTTCCCTTGAAAAACAAATTGAGCCATCAGAGACACAAGTTCGAGTTTCCGTTGGATATAGATGTCCCAAATTCCCATTGGTTGGCTGATTAATAGAGGGGTTTGAAGAAACCCCTTTAACAACCGGTAAATGGTGATAGATGATTGATTAACCAGTGCTAGGTCAATCTTACATGGATACCTTAACCCTTTGGTCTTTTGGTATCTAAGATTGGCAATGGATATTATATCACTCCACATGGGTGAAAATAAGCCAACTTGTAAGTGTGCATCATATGGGGTGTTCACCAAGCACCTTCGGTATAGAATCCACAATTAAGCAGTGTGCAAAACCCTGGTGGTGATTAGTTCGGGGATTGCACTAATTACTCAATATACTGGGGGTTACAATAGTCCAATAGAGGCACTCTATGTGAAACAGCCAGGATTAAATGGAATTACAGAGGGATTTTGAACGCTGCTCAATCAATTACATTGGAGTTATGTTTCAGATCTACGTAGATATACGGGCTTGTTGTTTTGTTTGAAGCTCAGGTACCCCGAAATTTGATAGTTGATCATCATGTTTCCCATGAAAAAAGTTAGCATTTTTGTGATATAGCGTATAGCCCACTTCAGGCGCTCCCAAATATCAAATGATGTTGGTAATGAAACATATCAACATTACATGCCATTTATACCCCCATATTAAGCGGTAAGTCCTAAAACACAACCATTATTGAACATAATATTAAATATATAATATTTCAATAATTATGTGATATATATATATCAGAAAGTATGTAACATAGATAGATAGATAGATGGATAGATAGAGAGATAGATAGATAGATAGATAGATAGATCGATAGATAGATAGATAGATAGGTAGAATAGATAGATAGATAGATAGATAGATAGATAGATAAATAGATAGATAGATAGATAGACAGACAGATAGATAGATAGATAGATATATTGATAGATTGATGGATTGATAGATTGATAGATAGATAGAGAGATAGATAAATAGATAGATAGATAGATAGATAGGTAGATAGACTTAATATGTATATATTTATAAATATAATATGAGTTGTGAAATCCCCTTCGGGGAAGTCTCCATCCTTGCGCAATGGTATAGGTGTTTTGATGCCACTCAGGATGTACACGGCCTCGGTGGGTTTGCAAGAGACTCTCGGAGCAACATGAGTTGCAACATGGATTTTTAGCCAAAAAATGGATGGGGAATAATGGGGATAACAATGTATAACAATGGATAACAATGGATAACAATGGTTAGTTCGGTGATATGTCCCAGATTTTCAGGTGTCCAAATTATCATCTATCTTTTTCGGGTAACCATTACTGCTTGGTGGTTTCAAACATTTGGATTATTTGTCCATCATATATGGGATAATCATCTTCCCATTGACGAAGTCATATTTTTCAATATGGTTAAAACCAACAACCAGAACTACATTTATGATCATTTACCTTTTACAAATAGATATAAATAGTGATTTTCCATAGCTATGTTAATCTACCAAAGGATAGCATGCTGGATTGACCATTGGAAAATGCTGCTGTAATGCTGGTTTCACGGTGGCGTTTCATGCTGGATTTCCCGGGTGCATGCGAGTTTGATGGGGACTCGATGGACATTTCATTGGAATTCAATGGGGATGAAGACATATAACCAACCATGGCATATGGGATCCAATCTATGAAAATCGATTGAACATTTGAATCCCAATTATTTTGTTTTTTCGGGGATGTGTCTTTTTCTCAATCTATGACATTCTCGGTGGTGTTTAGATATCACCAAATTGGCTGGCGGACTGTGTCATGGATATAGCATGATAACTTATCGCTTAGATCAGCCAGTTATGGCTATCTGGGTGCAGTTCCACAACAATCAGTGGGTTATAGTTGCAGGGCGTAAATTCCAAGAAACATAGGGGATCATTACCGTAGTTATAAATATAAATCCACAGCCAGAGATCAGGTTAATAAGAATCATTGTTGATCAGAGGAATCATCCCCAAATGGCCTTAATTCAGGTTAGTGAAATATTACAATATACCCAGATACATGTTTTTTTTACATCTACATTTACTCCAAAAATCAACCGACTGAACGTAAATATACCAGCACCATGGAGAATCTGGGAATGTTAACCAAGGAATTGGTCAATGCTCAAAGGAATATGTTTTTGGAGCTCCAGACGCGACAGGAGTGTGTTTTCCTCCACAACCTCCACCTGGCCAGGAAAAAACACAAACATGTCACACCTCACAGCCACACTCCGGTGCTATCAAACATGGCATGCTGGCAAATCACCCTCACCCATTTATAGTTGATTTTCTCAGCTTTAAACCTCCATTTATAAGGGATGTTCAATTGCCATGTTTGATTACCAGAGGGTAGTTATGTTGATTGATGAGTGAACACATTTTTTAGGTGTGTCAAGTCCACGAACATGTTGTGTGCAAAAGTCCACGTAGACATAGACTGCTCATTTGGAGTTCCTGTTTCTATGTTTTACCCCTTTTTTCAGGGGTTTATTCTCGTTTGCAGGGTCAATCAATGGGCCTTATATAATCTTATTTCATCTATCTCCGCTGGTACGCCTGGACCACTGCCTGGACCTTCATCTAGCTCCGCTGGTACGCCTGGACCACTGCCTGGACCTTCATCTAGCTCCGCAGGTGCCTTTGGACCTTCATCTAGCGCCGAGGAGGACGAGTCCGTCTTGGAGGCCCTAGCCATCGCCTTGAGCCTCATGAGAGACTAGTCAAAGCTAGTGGAGTTGGGTCGGCAACGTATTTCTTTCAACCTCACAAGATCAACAGACACAAGCCTGCAAGATCTTTCCCCCTTTTCTCCTTTTTCTTTTTGTGTTCTGTTTCCTGCTCCCTCTTTTGCGTTGCTCGCCCTGTTGCTGGTCCTCCCGCATCGATTTGGCCTGGCTGGGGTTGAATATTATTGGCGCCTGCCAATTTTATTCGCCATATTCTCTTTTTCCATCTGGTTCCTTACAGGTTGCTGGTCGATTAAATCATCGGTGCATTCCTGACCCTTTTTTGAGTGCAATCCTGTGCTAAATTTATTTGTTGTCTTCCTGGAAAAGCTTTTGGTTTCTGACACGGCTGCGAACTCAAGTGCTGGCGCCATGGCATTCCTCCTCACGGTTGTGGGTGCATTCTTGTGCGCTTCACCTGCTGTGGCCATGGACGACAACATGCGTCACCATGCGCGCAGAGCGCTGGGTGTGGCTTTGAGTGTCGCAGAGCGTTCTCTGGATCAGCTCCTGCCTCCATCCAATGGACCGCCTGCCAGCCCTTACAATCAAGTTTGGCAACCAAATTGGGTCACACCGCATGGTTTGGTGCCTCAACCTTGCGCCGCATCTGGGGCTGTGTTTGATCCTGCAAGACAAACATGGGCTCGAGCTTGTGGTGGGCCCGGTGTGAACTTGATGGGTTGCTCCACATATGGTCAGCCAATGCCAGGACCTCCTCCTTCGACCCGTCCACCTGTCGCTGTGTCAGGGGCGCGTCCGGATGTTGGCCCACCTCGGCAGCAAAGGCAACCTGACGCTTCTACAAGGCAGTCGTCCAGGCGAAGTGCTGATGGCAATGTTCGACGGTCCAGATCCAGGGCTCGGAGAAGTGCGCCGCTAAGTGGTCGGCCTCGCCGTTCCAGTCCGACAAGGGCCAGGGCGGGTGGTGCGGCGCCTGTGCGGTCGCAACAAGCCAGAGGTGTTGGGCAAGTTGGGCCGCGTGCTGCTCAGTCTCCAGGACAAACAGCTGCTGCTCCAACTCGCCGACCTATCTTTCAGGGGCAGGGGCGACCAAGTGCTCCAGCAGTTGGTCAAGAGAGGCCACGTCGCACCAGAACCCCAAGACCGGCAACAACCAGTGCATCAGTGAATCCTTTGACGCCCCGGCAACCACCAGGTTTGTATGTCAGAGGATTAGGGGCTGCTGCCAGCGTTGACCAAGTCGAGAGATTGTTTGAAAGGTTGTCTTCCTTTTCACCCACCTTGTTTTCTTTACCCCAGATGTTCAGCTTGCACATGTATCGCACCGGTGCAGCTACAGTAATGCATCCAGCATTTGCTGATCGGGGTCTTGTTGAACAGGTCTTGGGTGAACTAGGAGTGGGCCCTAACTCAGAGCCTGCTGCGATTCCCACTGAAGACTTTGGTGATGTCGCTGTCCGAGGGGCTCGTGAAGCCTTGTCCATTGCGGACGATGACGATGTATGAATCCGTGTCTGACACCGCCTTGGTTTTTTTTGAAAAAGTGGACTTGCTGTGTGTGCAGGTGGCTTCTGGGATGCAGTCATCGGGTTCTGTTCTTTTTGGTCCGGTTTGCTTTTAACGGACCACCAGAAACTGGCGGGGAGGGTCTGCGATGACGTCTTCGGAGCTGCCCCTGAGATCTGCCGGTGGAGGTTGTGTCCTGGGACTGTGGCTACTGCCATGAGTCGCTTCAACCAACCAACCAACCAACCATACATATATACCTTAGAGTTCTAGTTATGAGTGGATAGATAATCACAGTTATAGAGGTTATATCGAAATTGATGCACGTTTATGACCAGCGAAAGTTGTACCCACCTCAAGTGCCTAAGTTCAATTTAGGTACCTCTATGTTCTGGTTGGTGGTTTCAAACATTTTTTCCATTTCATGTAGGGGATAATCCTTCCCATTGACGAAGTCATATTTTTCAAGATGGGTTTTAAATCACCAACCAGATTTTCCATGGTCTGAGGTTTGCAGAAATGATGAACTGGCCGGAAAGATCATTGTCCACAACTGAAGGCGATGTCAGTTGTGATTTCATACTGGTTGATGGTGAGTTTTCGATGGGGATCTTTCCTGGGATCACCAAATTTCCATCTACCCTCTGGTAAACATACAAAAAAGCTATTGCAAATGGCCGTTTATAGTTGATACACATGAAAAAAAAATGATTTTCCATAGCTATGTTAGTTTACCAGAGGGTTACCTATGACATGAATTGGGTCACAAAATGCGTCAAAATGGGCTATACCCCCACTGGCTAGTCAAATGGGAAAAATATGATAAAGCAACTATTTTGGGCAGGAGCCAAAGAATATTGACCGTACCTCTGCCAAATGTACCAGCCAAACATATTTGGGGTTGGGAGCAACCCTTTATGAATACTAGTTGGTGGTTTGGAACATGAATTCTATTTTTCCATTTATTGGGAATGTCATCATCCCAATTGACTTTCATTTTTATCGGGGGGTAGGTCAACCACCAACCAGGCTATATGGATAGTGTGGAAATTCACAATTTTCAATGGGTAAGTAAATCCACTATTTCTATGGCTATTTTCACTGGCAAACTGTAACAAATTACCAGAGGGTATCCAAATCATATCCCAGTCATATCCTTATCCGATGATATTCCCATGAAATCTCAGTTATTGTCATTTCAGAGGGGTAGGCTCAACCACCAACCAGTTACAATGTGGGCCCCCGTTTACGATAGCGTTCAGTTGGTGAACATATCTCCAATTTCACTATGGTTTATGATACGCAAATTACTCATGGTATTCATGGGGTTCATAAACCAATGTGGGTAATAGCAATAATAAACCACCCCCGAAATCACAATTTTTATAGGTGGTATAGACCATTTCCAGCAGGTGCCGATGTTGGGTGAAATCCCGCTTTTGGACGGTGGAACCCGGTGGAACCCCCCGATGACCTCCGATGGTTCATCCGATGATCCATCCGATCTTCCCATTTTTTTCGCGAATCTTTTGCGCGATTTTGGAGACCCCAAAAAATGACAGTTGTCCATGTCCCATAGGATCCATGGTGCTGGCATATATGCTAACATTTAAAGGGGGTATATTGATGGTAAATGTTACCATAAATAGCATACATGGATCCTATGGGTGTGGGAAGTCTAGAGGAGACGTCTCTATGAACTGCTGGAGCCGGCAGAATACTTAGGCGAAATCTAATGGAAACTACAGATCTAAATCCTGGATATCCTTAGCGGTTTGGAGTTGAACGACCCGCTCCATCGTTTTGTTTGATTCCACATGGGGAGTGACAAAAAATATGACGACATGGGATGATGGTGTGTTTGTATTCTCGCGCGTTTTGTGGTATATAGTTGTAGACCAGGTGTGGATTGGTTCTTTGTGTTGGCATTGTTACTCCCAAATGCTCCATGGCGCTGGTATATTTACATACAAAACTTGGTGATTTTTAGGGTAAATGTTGGTAAATATACCATACATGGAGCATTTGGGACTGGTAAGTACGTCAGTATGTAAATGAGCCATGCTACCAGCAGAACCAGCGTGGAACCCCGCGAATGGGGTCTGGGAGATAATTCTCTGGATCTAGAAACGGCAATGATGTTGGTAAAACAATAACAAACCATCCCCAATTTCACCATAAATAGTTGGTATAAACCATTCCCAAAGAGGTGTTTATGACATTGTTTTAACCACATTGGGTGTGTTCTAAAACGATTCACGTTTAGAGAGCCGCATGTGATAGAAATCGGCCAGAATCGGATCAAGTTGCAGCCTTCAAATCCACTTGTTGGCGAGCAGACCTCTCTGAATCTAACGGCAGTTCTCAGGATTCAACACGCATCCAAGTCATGGATGTAGATGATTGCCCGAACACCCAAAAAAAGCACTAAAATATTACTTTACTTCGAGTCATCTATACGTTTTTGTTACTGGCAATTCTTCTGGCATTCTATCTGACATATCTTCTGGCATTCGATCTGGCATTCTATCTGGCATATCTTCTGGCATTCTACCTGACATATCTTCTGGCATATGTTCTGGCATGTCTTCTGGCATTCTATCTGGCATATCTCCTGGCATATCTTCTGACATTCTACCTGACATATCTTCTGGCATATGTTCTGGCATATCTTCTGGCATCCTATCTGGTATATCTTCTGACATCCTATCTGGCATATCTTCTGGCATTTTATCCGGCATGTCTTCTGGCATTCTATCTGGCATATCTTCTGGCATTCTACCTGGCATACCTTCTGGCATTCTATCTGACATTCTATCTGGCATACCTTCTGGCATTCCATCTGGCATATCTTCTGGCATTTTATCTGGCATATCTTCTGGCATTCTATCTGGCATATCTTCTGGCATTCTACTTGGCATACTTTCTGGCATTCTAAATTCTATCTGACATTCTATCTGGCATACCTTCTGGCATTCCATCTGGCATATCTTCTGGCATTTTATCTGGCATATCTTCTGGCATTCTATCTGGCATATCTTCTGGCGTCCTACCTGGCATATGTTCTGGCATATCTTCTGGCACTCTATCTGGCATATCTTCTGGCATGTCTTCTGACATCCTATCTGGCATTCTATCTGGCAAATCTTCTTGCGTTCTACCTGGCATGTCTTCTGGCATTCTATCTGGCCGTTGAGGTCCAGCGGTGCCCACTGAGCTCGGAAGGTCCCAGGTTGATGTCCAGCGGTGCCCACTGAGCTCGGAAGGCCCCAGGTTGAGGTCCAGCGGTGCCCACTGAGCTCGGAAGGTCCCAGGTTCAGGTCCAGCGGTGCCCACTGCGCTCGGAAGGTCCCAGGTTGAGGCCCAGCGGTGCCCACTGCGCTCAGAACCTTGCGGTTGAGGTCCAGCCGTGCCCACTCAGATCGAAGCCGGCAGTTGAGGTCCAGCAGTGCCCACTGCGCACAGAAGTTGGCGAAGAGATTGGTGACGAGTTGGCAAGGCGGAAGTGGACGTGGAAGTTGATGCAGACATGGTCGAGGAGAAACTGGAGGAGGAAGAGGAGGAGGCGGAGGAGGAGGAGAAGGAGAAGGAGGAGGAGGCGGAAGAACAGCTCTGATAAAATCTAACAACCCTCACCTGGCAGGTGGGGAAAAAGCGAAGCAAATCCATATGGTCCATTGGTATTTCAACGTATGCAAACGCTAAACCAGAGGATACCATGCCGCTCTTGGTCCACGAAAATCGCCAGGGAAGATTCTACATGATACGTCGCTGGGCAGAGAGCTATCGACCAAGCCGCCGGGTTGTCGTTCAATGGTGATTCAAACAATAAATATCATGTGGGTAAAACAATGTCATAAAGCACCTATAGTTGATTTAAACTGGAAATGGTCTATACAATCTATATACATGGTGATTTCGGGGATGTTTTTATTGTTTTACCCACATTATAGTTGTTTATACAATGTGGTGCCCCCCCCCAGTTTTAAATCGGTTGATAATCCCCATGAATACCATAGTTATTTGCGCATCATAAACCATAGTTATTGGAGTTGTGTGGCCCCCAACTTTGTTAGCTATCGAACGGGGGCCTCACATTGTATGGTGTGGATAAAGAATGCTAAATGATGAGTATCCGCTGATGGTTGATTTGACATTTTCTGGGATACCCACTACTTCGGGAATCTTGGTCGAAAATATGTTCTATTTCTTCGGGGTTCCTTAAGATTCCTTAAGCAGATCCAACCTTAAGATTGAGACTTTTCATGGGTACTTGGGATATAACAAACCAAATGGAATATCATCCTTAACAGTTATATCCCATTAGAATCCAAGTGTCTCCCAAATACCCATGGGATACTTAACAGTTATATCCCATCAAATCCAAGTATCTCCAAATGGGATTTCTCTTGGGAGATACATTTCTTTAAATGGGGATTTGGGATATGACAAACTGAGGATTGTCTCTGAGTCCACCGTTTTCACCATGTTGCACCGCCTCCGAGGTCGGAGGAAATCATTTTTGAACAACCGCTCCTTCCGGCTGCCGGAGAAAAGAGTCACTTGGCTGGCTGTTGGTTGGGAGGGAGCTAAGGAGCCACAAGTACCCATATAGCCCTTTAAAGGGGGAGCTAAGGAGCTACCAGAAGGGTTCTAACCAAATGCAAATTGGTGACAGCACCGAAGGGCGCGATAGCTTTTCGATGAGGTATGTCGATAGTTCGACGTTTTTTTTTTTCGAAGCAATTCACCATTACGGTTTACAATGTTTTACATATATATATATATATGTATATATGTATATTATGTAATGAAGAGTATGACAAAGTATATGAATTGGACATGGTTTAGATTCACGGAGAAATGTTTCTTCCACTCAGTTGGATTTGATTCACCTTTTTGAGAAGATTCCACTCTGCACCGAAGTAAATTGATGCGCCCTGCATTTGCACAATGAGAGGCACAGAACTTGGGATGAACATAATGAAAAACTATTCAAGAGATTAAATACTATTTGACATTAGGCGGACGGGGTTGCTGTGTCCATGGCCTAATGTCAAATACTAGTTAATCCACATTTAATGGCATTATATATGTATATATAATAATATTTTGCATATGGATTTTAAAGTTCTACACTAGACTATAGAATGCCCTTTTTTGGAGAGATATACCCAATCTTCAGAGATGCCAACACACACACACTGACACACTTGGTAGCTAGTTACAATGTGGGGCCCCCTAGATAGCTAAGCTCGTTTATAGCTCCAATAACTACGGCTTATTATACGCAAATAACTATAGTATGCGTGGCTTGTATAAACCAACAAACACAACTGGGGGGGCCCTACATTGTAGTTTAACATGAGTCTTACCCTCTGGTAAACTAACAGTTTGCTATTGAACATTGCCATAGAAATAGTTGTTTTTACCCATTAAACATGGTGGATCTTTCCATTTTTTTTTGTAAACGTTGACCAGAGGGTAAGTCAGTTTATAAACCATGAAATAATCCCCATGAACTAATTCGTTATATCTACCATAAACCGTAGTTAAACCACTTGTACGGCACCTTAGAGGATTTAGGGTTCAAGATCTTTGGGAACTGTGATTGAAACTTTGGAGTTGTTTGATCCCAACCCACCCGAAGTGTGAGGATTTTTCGATTTTGTCCACTTTTGGTGGTGCCCCAGAAATTGCTAAGTTGGTTTATAGCAACAACCACTCGGGATAACTAGGGTTTACATGGGTTTATTGTATAAGGCATTATAAGGCATAAATATATATATATATATACTGGTTGGTGATTTGGAACATGTTTTATTTTCCCCGATAGTTGGGATGATGATCCAATCTGACTTTCATATTTTTCAGAGGGGTTGAAACCACCAACCAGTATATCTTTCTAGGTTCGCACTTAGAATATTTAGGTCTAAATCCTGGAGCCCTCAGCAGGCTGCGTTCGAGCCCCGGGCAGAGGTTTAGTTTTGGATTATTCTAACTGCGAAAAGGTTAAGATATATAGTGAATGGATGCTAATGGGGGTTATCAACCAACTTGCAACTGGGGGGGCACCACCTTTTGGTGACTTTGGAACTCCTTAGATAGCTTATAATGTGGGGCCCCCGTTTACGATAGCGTTCAGTTGGCCAACAGATCTCCAATTTCACTACGGTTTATGATACGCAAATAACTATGGTATTCATGGGGTTTATAAACTACCAGTTTATAACTGGTGGGGGCATCACATTGTAGGAATGGTTTCGAACAGCTCTCCAGTGGGGGGAGCGGTTCGGAGCTACGCACATTTTCCCAACCACATGATACCCGGCCTGGTAAACTAACATAACTATAGAAACTCACCATTTTCAATGGGTCAATCCACTATTTCTATGGCAATTTTCAAGTTCGCAAACTTGAACAAATTTCCGGAGGGTAGTTGTTGTGTGATTTGATTTCTTGTGTATATCTCTGCAGATAGATGTGGTTTCAAACCAACTTATATACAACATGGTGAAGCCCTTCATGTAAGGACGGCGCATAGCCTTCTTTCTTCCTTATGTCCATCCCAGTGGGATAGCATGTGAAGTCACCACAACATCTACATACTGTATACATATATATATATAGTGCATATATATATACATACATATGTAATATATATATATATACATATGTGTAATCAATATATATATATATATAGTGTGTGTATATATTTATATATTTATTATATACACATATGTGCTATATTCAAATATCCCCAGTCACATACTGAACGAATCCTGAGAGGCCGGGAGCTGATGGTGGCAGTTCCTTCCGAGAGGCTCCAGGGGTGGGTCGAGGCCATCAATGGGCACGTTTCACAGGAACCGATTGTTCCGTCTGGACCATAGGGAAAGCCTAGGAAAACCATAGGAAAATATGGGAAAACCATAGGAAAACCATAGGAAAATGTGGGAAAACCATAGGAAAACCATAGGAAAACGTGGGAAAACCATAGGAAAACCATAGAACAATTCTGATTTTAGCCACCAAAATGGTGATTGAATGGGATTTATAGCTGATTTATCTGATTTATGATACCTAAGTTGGTGAACATAACTCTAATCGCACTCTGGTTTTTGTTGGTGATATATCGAACTAGTTAATGGTGTTTAGAAACCAATAAACATATCGTCTAGGGGGCACCACCTTGTACCATATATAAGACCAATTTTTCAGGGCTATGTAAGGGGATATAAGCTCCAATTTCTATGGCTTTAACTAAAGTACCTCCATTTTAGGATCCTGGAATTCCCATTAATTAGAAAGAAATGCTGAAGCAAACTGTATACGAGAAACCACAGAAACATGCGCCCTCTGTTTCCAACTTCAGAAAGTCCAGGACCCTGGTGCGACGCTCCGCACCAGCTCTTGAATGAATCAGCCTTAATTAGTATCGCACGAGCGAAACTTCGCGCCTGTTACTTGCCGAACTTGATGCTACCAGCCCGCCGTTTGTTCGCTTGTTGGTTTATAAACCTTTTATAACCTCTATATAGTTGGATCAATAACCCATGAACTGGGGGACGGTCATCAATCCATGGAAGATGGTGGTTGCCATCACAGGTGCCAGATGCTCCACCACCGCCGCCACCGAGTCGTGGAGGCCAGAATGTCCAATATGCTGGAAGAATGTTCGTGGGTCCCTGGAGCAGCACCAGGCTAGCAGCACGACATGTCTGGAATGGCAGGCCAAATGCAAAGGGACTGGCCGTGGAGCCAGCACAGCGCCAAGCCGACCAGACAGGGTGCCATGCAAGAGATGCGGCAAATCAATTGCTGGCACTTTGTGGTCCCAATTCCAACACTATCAATCGATGCATCCTGCCCGTATGCATGAGCTGGATGTTCCTGATGACTGGCTGGAAGGTGGCAGATTTGACGGCCGTCCTCAGCTGAGAAGCCGTGGTCGGAGTCGCAGATCTGGCAGCCGGTCCAAAGTAAGAACAGATGCCGATGCCAGGTCTCCCAGCCGCAGCAGAAGGATGGCGACGCCAGTCCGGGTGAAAAAAGAAAAGTCGCCCACTTCAGAGCCACAGGACCAGAAGCGCGACAATGAGCAGCCTCAGCACCGACGCCGTCATCGTCGCAAGCAACGCTCTCCATCGCCACCGGTGGACCACAAGCCATTGCAATGGTGGTCCTGATGATAAAGGTCCTGACCCGTCTGACGGAGGGTTTGGTATGTTCGGTGGGGGCACCACAAGCCTCCTCATTCATATCGGCCAAGCATTGGTGCGACAAGAATTTCAATTTCAGTGGGCAAATTTTCAAAAAGGTCAACGCAAAGCCAACTACCATCCACACCCACTCAACACATTTCTCAAAAATAATGTGGTGCTATGTGTTGTTTTTGTTGCCCCTTGAAATGAAATGGATGCGATGCAATGGCCTGGTAATGGGCCATACCTGCGCATTAAAAGCAGGAACCAAGCTGGCGACAACCCCAGCAAAACAGCACAGCCGCAAAAAAAACATGAGACCACGTGGCGGTTTGGAAGTGCCACATTTGAATTCAAAATGTCAATGTGCATCCTTGATTGTCATCTTTGCAGTTCGTTTCAAAAAGCAGTTGCAGTAGGTAAAGCAAAGAGCAAGTTTATAAAAGCACACAGAAATAGATCAACCACACCACTGGCAGTAACAGCAATAAAAACAAACATGCCAAAGATGCATACAGAATTACATCTACTTGGCATGAGGTTTAAGAGGTACAACAAAAATATTTATCTGACACATTTGGCCTAGTATTGTTTTCATTGTTTTGTAAAACCATTGCATTAACCATGGCGAGGAGAAGCGGCAGTGCCGCAGCAAATGCGGTGGACCTGCCAGAAGTTGAGCAGAATGAACTTGATGAGCTATTTGGCCACATGGCAAAAGATGACTACTACTAACTAGTGCAGCGACATAAGCGCGGAACCCGCGCTACCGCTACTACTACTGCAGCGACATAAGCGCGGAACCCGCGCTACTGCTATTACTATTACTACTACTATTTCTACTACATACTACTACTACTACGACGACTACTACTACTACTACGACTACGACTACGACTACGACTACGACTACTACGACGACGACGACGACTACTACTACTACTACTAAGTTTAGAATCCCCATTGGTTCTAGTGAGAATATATCCCCTCTAGTTCGCCTAGTTCTTGACCATTTGCAGGAATCTCATGGGGAGCTCATGAGGATATCATGCGATATGTAACCAGCTAGATCTGATACATATGTTGCTTGATGAATAGGTGAATTTCAGGGAAAAGTGTGAAGAGTTTTCCTCGGGACTGATGGGGACTTTCCTACAAAAAATAAATACCATCTGGTTATTTAACAGTTCGCCATGGACAGATCCACCATTTTTAATAGGTAAACCGAGGTAAACCATCTATTTCTATGGGCCATCTATACCATGGCTATGTTAGTCAAAACCAGTGTGTAATCCCATATATTCCCATGATTTTCCCATAAAACCATATATAAAACCTCCATTTCTAGTGGATATGTCCCATAAGACCATGGTAAATAACCAGATGGTAACCAAAAAAGGGGTTTCAATGATGCCCGCAAAAGTTCGCCGAATCAATGTCTGACTTCATTTATCTGGGTTTCTGGCGATTCTAAGCTATAACTGATAACTATGGCCCCCCCCCGATGTGAACGTTGGTTTGTATACCATGGAATAGCCCCCATTAACTATAGTTATATCAACCATAAACCATAGTTAAGGGACTATAAGTTGGTTTATAACCCCCATTAACTAGTTCGTTATATCTACCATAAACCATAGAATTCAGGGGCTTATAAGGCAACTGAACGCTATCGACTGGGGGCCTCACATTGTTTAACAGTGTATAACTATATATAGTTCGATGGGTTAGTCAACCGACCTCCAACTCGGGGGCACCTCATTGTATGCCATCCTGTGGCAACAGAGAATTGGATGGCTCAACATCAAGGAAAATCTTCAGAATGTGTGTTTCAAGTTTTTTTTATTACCTGTTTTGGAGGTTGTCAATACAGACCCGTATTGAATAGCTAGAAACTTTCAGAAAAAAAACAAAAAAGATTGGCGAGCGGGTTAACTAAGTGCATTTTTTGTCAACTAGCCAATAATTTTCTTTGGGTTGAATCCCCAAAAGATCCGGTGTTTCGCGGTGCCCATCTTTAGGTGGTGAAACATCACACTTTTAGATGATGGAAAAAACCACTGTTTGATGGTTGAAACGCAGTGTTTCATGGTTCAATCCCATTTTTTTGATGATCAGAGCCAATGTTTTCTTGAATCATAATATAGTATAATATAGGCATAATATACTTCCTACCTTGTTTTTTTGGTGAACACCTACATTATGTATACGCAAACGGCCATGGCAAAAAGAAAACGGCGGTCAGGGTGGTACACAACGACCTGCGAATCGAGTTGGGAAGAGTGTGGAGGGTGACCAGTCAAAGAGATGCTTGGCAGGACCAACGTTCGATAGTGTTCAGTTGGTTTATAACTCCAATAACTATGGTTTATGATACGCAAATAACTATGGTTAAGAGATGCTTGGCAGGACCAAAGCCCAGATGCGAACCATGGTGCTGGAATATGAATACCTACATTTACCCAAAAATTGCCCAGTTTTGTGGGTAAATATTCCAGCACCATGGAGCATCTGGGAAGTGCAATGCCAAGGATGCGGTGCTGATCTGAGAATCATCCTACGAATCGTAGGTGGTTAACGTTCCCAAGTCCATTTTTTAGTCCCCTATTTTTGCGGGGTTCTTTCATACATACCTGGTTGGTGGTTTGGAACATTTTTAATTTTCCATAATACATGGGATAATCCTTCCGGTTAACCTTCATATTTTTCAGAGGGGTTTGAAACCACCAACCAGATACAATCGGGTCATAAGTTGTAAATCTGGTTTTCAACTAACTACTAAGTGGATGATCCTCCAAGTATTGATTCTCACATTCATGGGATTATATTGTGTCATCATCTGGTTGGTGGTTCGGAACATGATATGACTTTCCATATGTTGGGAATGTGATCATCCCAGCTGACGAACTCATATTTTTCAGAGGGGTTGAAACCACAAACCAGGTTTATGATTTTGCTATGAATAGATGTAGCGCTGGCACGCGCCATGGTGCCCTCCGGTAGCGGAGCTCTTCAATGGAAAATTGCTCTCAAAAAACACATGTATGTCGTATGTATATGGATTGGTTTTCCAAATTAGGAGGGTTTGTGTATTGCCAGATAAACTTATTTGATGGTAAACTGCTTGGTGGTCATCTAACGAAACATATAATTAAGTAGGTTTTTTAACTGGTTGTCAGCAGGGCCAGGCATAGTTCGCTAGCGTAAAAAGTGAAGCGAACCGCTAAGTCACTAGGTCAGTGTCAAACTCAACTGCTTGCGTGCACCATAAATCATATGCAAGGTCGTGTCCAGCAGTAAGAAGTTGGGTTAGGTTTACCCATCTAACGATAGTAAATTCCACAACGTGATGCCCCCCAGTTATGTTTATTGGTTTATAAACCCCATGAATACCATAGTTGTAAGTATCGAAAACCATAGTTATTGGAGATATAAACCAACTTAGCTATCGTTTGGGAGCCCCACATTGCACGCAAATAGAAGAGGGGGAGGATCGCCATCTCTGAAAGAATCTTCAGCCTCAAGACATTGGAGTTTGAGTGGTCTATGTTGGTCCCAATAAAATGATAGTAACTTAAGGCATCTCCCCTGCATATCCATCATTCGTTAAATCCTTGTTGTTGATGGTAGCATACTTCCTTTCATGGTTTGATTCCCCATGAAATACCTTGTAATGCCCTTGGTATTTGTGTTGACGGATGCCCCCCTCTTCCAAGGTTTTTTTCCATTGCCATGGTCGTAACTTTGGGAAGCCCCCTGCAACCCATTCGATGCAAATCTATCCACTATCCATTATTCATTCTATACCTGCAGGATGGGGCCCCACCCAGTTATAAGTTGGCCTATATATAGATATATATATAATTATATATATATATACATATCAAAAAAAACATTATAATCCGCATTAACACCCATTCACTAGTTCGTTTTATCTACCATAAACCATAGATTTCAGCCACTTTTTTTAGGCGTTTCGGTTCACGCCTTCGCTCGACTGAAAAACCCCATCCGACCTTCATGGTGCACAAAAAACGCTTGTCCAAGGAACGTACGTTGGAAAGCTTCATGTACCAGGCCATAATGGCTGGTGAAGACAGTTCGATTGACACCCCACAGTTATGGCCATTTATTAGTTATAACTGGTTATTTCTATGGGATGAAATACATTCTATAAATGGGGTTATAAGTACTTATAACTGGTAAAGGGCCTTAACTGCAAACGGCTGCTTTTATTGGGCGGTTTTATTGGGGGCCCCCATTTTAGTAGCAAATTATCACATGAGTTGGGGGCCCCAGCTCCCTAATTTATCAACCAGGGTGTACCACTCCGAGTTGACATTACTCAAGATGGTTAAGACGGAGCAAGATGGCCTAAAGCAACGTTTATGAGATCATAGGGGGGATCAACCAGAAACTCTCGTTGGAATCGTCATCCAGAAGTTGCTTATTTCAGATTTAATGGAGAGAATCGGCCTCCAACAACCCGCTATATTATCTCAGATTTTTTCAGATGGTGAATAGGGGACTTATCAACCAATAAACTATCTATTCCAGATGTGTGAATGATATGTACACATTTTTCCAGAGTTACAGTGTGTTCAAATTATGTAATGCAAGTACATGCAAAATACTTGCGAGATTGCTCTTGCAAGCTCCAATGATAATGAACTCAAATATAGTTGGAGCATTTCCAGAGGAATCCAAGCTGGTAAAAATCTGTGCATTTCCCGGAAATTTCTGGGGGGTTCTGTATTCCACAGAACACAAATAGAAACTCAGACTGCCTTGTCACGAGTGATCCTGCTACTCTTGGACTAGATGACTAGAAAACCTGAACTACCATGGCGAACTGTAAACGTCATAACCATATGACTAGATGACCTAAGATTCAGCGAACCCTCACCAGTTGCCACGTGTGGGATGAGTGAGTGCAGTGTGGAATGTGAAAATCCAGCGCCATGGTTTCCCTTCCCATATGCTCCATGGCGCTGGAATAGTTACCTACAATTACCCCAAAAGATGCCCAGTTTTGTAGGTAAACATTCCAGCACCATGGAGCATCTGGGCTTTATGATGTGATTTTCCGTCGCTGCTTGGGAAGTTCGGTTATGTTCGGTTTGGGCTGTGAACACTTATTCAACATATGGTTTGCTCAATGTCGAGCGGCAAGCAACAATATTTGGTATGGAAAGAGCAAAAGGTAGAACATCATGATAAATCTTCGGGAATTATTTTTTGATTAACCTGCAGTTAAGGCCCTTTACCAGTTATAAGTGCTTATAACCCCATTTATAGAATGTATATATAATCCCATAGAAATAACCAGTTATAACTAATAGATGGCCATAACTGTGTCATATACCCCAAAATTATCATGTTTTAATGGCTTGGTTCTATGAAACCATCCCCCAGTCATGGTCGCTTTATGTCGAAAATGAATCGCAGGTCGCACCGCCACCGGAATGGCACCTGCAGTCCATAAAAATTGGCACAAAAATAACCACAAAAAATAACCATAAAATGCTTGCAGTTAAGGCCCGAAATACCAGTTATAAGTGCTGAACTAACCCCATTTATAGAATGTATTTCATCCCATAGAAATAACCAGTTATAACTAATAGATGGCCATAACTGTGGTTGGCTTTTACAACCACTTTTAATCTTATATGGTTCTACTTACTTTATGGTTATAAGTGATTATAAGTGGTTATAAGTGGTTAACCTTAAACAAATATGATTGGTTAAAACAACATGAGTTAATCGCTCATTCCGTAAGATGAACAAATGATATTGAAAATTGGGTCCAGTGGCTAACTCATAACTTTTTAAGTGGTTAACCATAGAAATAACTTGTATTTTATAAGTGGTTAACTTATAACCGTAAAAAAAATGGTAACTTGCTGACTTATAACATCTTCGAAGTGGCATGTCTTTATCGACTTCTTTCGGCCAGTGTTTCGCCTGGCTTCGGTTTTGCGAGGAGCTCTAGAAATGTGTCACTGATGAAAGGAGCAAACTTGAACAGTTCAGCCGCTCTTGTCATCTTTCCTATATGCTCCATGTATGGAAAAATTATCTACATTTACCCCATAAATTGCCCAAATGTAGGTATATATTCCATACATGGAGCATCTGGGCTTCTGGAACAACAATGACTTTGCAGAGACAATCGATAGAAGTGTCGAAGAGCCCGGGGCCGGGGTCCGGCGCTGAATCGAACATTTACGAGGTTAACCGGTTTCATGGCTAACCACGGTCACCATTATATCGTTTTTTGGTGATTTTCCCTGGGTGTTTAATGATTGTTTTGGTTATACCAATAGTTTGCACCTGGTTTGTTACAACCATTGGTAACCATCATAAGCCTTATGTAAATTGTAAGCCTTACGAACATTGGTTTGTTACAACCACTGGTAACCATTATATTCATACAATGTGATGCCCACCCCAGCTATGTTTATTGGTTTATAAACCCCACGAATACCATAGTTATTTGCGTATCATAAACCATAGTTATTGGAGATATGTTCACCAACTGAACGCTATCGTTTGGGGGCCCCACATTGTACGAATCCTTATTGGTTCACCTTCATTGATCCCCCATTTTGGGGGCTGAGAATGGCGAGAATGGCCAGCCTTATGGTCTCACCGTTTCTAGCATCATTGACCATGAGTTACGGGAGACGTACCCAACATGCAAATTTTCAATCCCTGCGCCAATCTCTGTGCTTTCTTGGAATATCCTTTCCATCCTTTCCCACTTTGACGACTCATCCAGGGTCCCGGCATCCAGAAATCAAATCCTCACAACATCTCCGCCAAATCCTATGGAATTCACAGGGAAAGCTCCATTTTGCTAGAAAATCCCATGAAAATCTCCCAATAAAATACTGGTCCTAAAGTAGCCTCATTTCAAGCATCATTCAAAGCGGGTTTAGTCATCCCATCAAACCGCATGAAATATCATATTATACAATACTATTTCACACTATATAACTATATTCCCAGTGTAGATGTGTCTGGGTCAACCTTACTTGGATACTGTAGTACTTTAACCTTTCAATATGTTTCTATCAAAGGTTAAAATTAGTCCTAACAAGCCAAGCATTAGATCTTTTGGCAGGTATCTAGGATTCAGCATGATGTTATCCCATATAGTGGCTGCTTAATCCCATTAAGATCATATTACCCAATGATAGTATATCTCAGTATATCCCCAGATGAGTTCTTTAAATCACCATGAAATCCCAAAGTCATTATCCATGTTTTTATCCCATAATTTCATACACCCTCTGGTTATTGAAAATAGCCATGGAAAATAACCATTTTGGATTGGTAAGCCATCTATTTCTATGGGCCATCTATACCATGGCTATGTTAAATAACCAGAGGGTAATTAATTTCTTTCCCAATCCAATACAAGCCATCCGCATGAAATCCCTACAGTTAAGGCCCTTTACCAGTTATAAGTACTTATAACCCCATTTATAGAATGTACAATCCCATTTATAACCAGTTATAACTAATGAATGGCCATAACTGTAGGAATTCCCGAGGTTTTCTCCTTCCAAATATCGCAGGTGTCAGAGTTGAAAGCCCCGCAAGAAGGTCGCGCGCGCCGACCTCAGGCGCTGAGAGCAGAGCGAAGAAACGCTGTGGCAGAGGGAAACGCCATTGATATACGCTGCGGTTATGGCAAGGTGGTGCCCCCCAAACGTTATATTTATTGGTTTATAAACGTCATTCACTATAATTAGAATGCTATAATAGCTCATAGATAGTTTATACATATACTATAGATATATCACCTATAAGTACTATAGATCTATCACCTATGAGCCATAGTGAAATTGGAGTTATGTGACCACCAACTTAGCGATTTCTAGGGGGCACCGCCTTGGGTCATTTATTAGTTATAACTGGTTATTTCAATGGGACTATCAATTCTATAAATGGGGTTGGTTCGGTACAAACATAACTGGTATTTCAAGCCATAACTGTATACGGTGAAAGACGGGAGAAGATGAGAAAAAATCATTGGAATAGAGGGTTCAATTGTGATTTAAGAGGATTTCATGGTGACTTAATGAAATTTAATGAAATATATTAATGGAATATTCATGGTTCATAATGGTCTATCAACGGTGCTTACTGCAATATTGGTGAATATGAATGGTTCATAACGGTTTAAAAGGGTGATGAATGGTATATTAATGATGGTTTCTAATAATGCTTTACAATGATATTCAATTGTTGATAACTGTTAATCATGGTTTATAATGGTATGTATTTAAATATATGTATATGTTTGTGTATATGTATATGTGTATGTATATGTATATGTATATGTATACAATGTATATGTATAATTATATGTATATCTTCATGGTTTATAATGTGGAGCATCTGGGAATTGATATTAAGAAACTATATACCAACCCAAAAACATGGTGATATCATGGGAATAATCTGGATGAAATTCTAATGACCTCACGGTGACGTGCAGACAATCCTATCACCCTAATATTAAGCGTCCCCCCCAAACAATAGCCTCTGGTAAACAAACAGTTTGCTATTGAAAATTGCCATTTATAGGTGATTTACGCATTAAAAACGGTGATTGTCCATAGTCATGTTAGTTTACCAGAGGGTAAAACTTAGGGTCGTTTTTATTATTAGAAGCTGTTTAGAATCAGAGACCTCGTTGCATCATTACGTGTTAACTCTGTGGACCAGTGGGCCGATTTTTTATTACCACTAATGACATCCCATTGAAATCCCCGCCCTCATGACATCCCAACAACAGATATTGCATGATATTGCTAATTAATCCAAAAAATAACTAGTTTCATGGAGAATTAAATCCCATTGATAATCCCAATAGAGTCCCATTTAATCCCACAGAAATACAATCAACCCTTATAGCAACAACAAGAAACAAACAGCTTTCCACTCAGGACCAGTGGTGTGCACTGCCTGCAGACAGGCAGCGTCACACCTTTCAGTGCACAACCTTCAAGAAGTGGTTCGCAGAGTGGTGCGCAGAGAAGTACAGCCAGTTCAGTGCACAACCTTTAAGGAGTGGTCAATTTTGGCTCAGCAACTTCGGGCTAAGGTACAGCCTTTGTTCTTAGAATTGGAGGAAGAGAAAATTGCAAACCCGCTGCAAACCCCCATTTTCAATGAGAAAAAACGTAGCTTTCCTGTTTTGATTTTTTCTCAATGTGGTAAACCCAATGGCATAAACCGTCCCCACTATTGGTTGATGACATTGGGTTCATCCCTCTACTGGGATGGTGTAAAATGACCCGTTGGTCTTGGGATCGTTTTTGGCATTGGCTTTTCCACATTATGTAATGTATATTCACATGCCCAGTTATGTTTGTTTGTTGATAAACCCTTTTAATTATAGTTTAAGTATCATAAACCATATAGTTATTGGAGTTATGTTTATTATCGGGCTCACCACATTATTCATTAATAATAATCCATTAGTAATCTACTATGTTTATAAATAATGATTATTGAGCACTGCTAATCACCAAAAAGCACATAAGGATTATTATTGATCACTAAGAACCACTGATAAACATTAATAATCATTAACACTAATAATCACTACTAACACTTATAATAAGCACTATTAACCACCAATAATCATTAATAATCACTAATAATCACTGATAAACGTCAATATTAGCTATGACTAGTAATTGATAATCACTAATCATCAATTATTCACTAATAACCATTAATCATTCCCATTAACCACTAATAAGCACTATTAACCACCAATAACCATTAATGATCACTGTTAACCCTCGCAGCACCCCAAGCCAAATCGATCCGCAGGGCATTCGCATCGCTTTTGTCCCGGCCATTGCGTTGCACACGCCACACGCGACGGTCTTGGAGGATGGTTCCCTCCCCGGGTTTCGGAATGGGGTCCCGCCACGGTTGGGGTTGCCTGAGTCTTGTTGGGGGTACCCGAAAATTCCATGGCTTTTTTTCATGGAACATCTTTTGGAAATGGATGAACCCCCCAAGTTATCCAAGTTGTTGGAGTAAAAACCAACCAAAGCAGTTTTTTTTGTATACCCTCTGGTTAAGACTAACAGTTCGCCAGATCCACCATGCTATCAAGAACGGTAAACCATCTATTTCGATTAGGGCCATCGGTTACTACCATGGCTAACTATACAAGCCATTCCCATGAAAATCGTGAAATCTCTAGGATTCCCCATGACTATTGGAGGAGTACTTCCCTAATTAATAAACCACGGTTCATTAATTACCCTCTGGTAAACTAACATAACTATGGACAATCACCATTTTTCATGGGAAAATCCACTATAAATGGCAATTTCCAATAGCTATGTTAAATTACCAGAGGGTAGGGGGGGTACTCCCCAAATAGTCATTTCATCTGATACTCAAATGGTATCCCCCCAATGAAAAACAACCGTTTTTTACGGGGTTTATTAATCCAGGGTTGACATACAGTCGAGTAATAGCCATAGGATTTTCAGATGATTTCAGCAGTGAGGTGCAGCTGATATCCCATGATGAATCCCAAGGTCCGTGAACATTTCAAGGCTCTGGTTATTTAACATAGCCATGGTATAGATGACCCGTAGAAATAGATGATTTTCCCAGCTAAAAACCTCCATTTATTTTGGAGATTGTCCATGGCGAACTGTTAAATAACTAGATGGTAGCTTTCGAAATCACCACTTCCAACAAAGAAATCAGTTATGTTATGATATGAACATATTTTAAACCTCATTAATTTAGGATCATCATATATCATCATGTTCCTGTTATCGTTGCCATTCTGGGGTATCCACCATTTTAGACAAACCCATATCATACTCATGTTGTTCGTTACATTCCACTAAATGTATCTAAATGCCATAATATACAAAACAAATATACATACAGAATATAATATAGTGCATATACTGGTTAGTGGTTTGAAACATGTTCTATTTTCCATAATATATGGGAAAATCATCCCAACTGACTAATATTTTTTCAGAGGGGTTGAAACCACCAACCAGATAATATATTCAAAACAATACATACAGAATATAATATAATACATATATATATATATCCCATTATAACCCCAGCGCCGTTGACTTTGCAACGTTTTTTTTTGAAAACCCATTTCTTGTGTCTATGTAAGTTTCATCCATGCTCGACAGGTGCCGAACGAACACGCGTTTCTTTCTCTCGGGCGCGTTGTCAGCCAGTGTTCAAAGACAAAGGAAGAAGACGATTTACCCTCTGGTAATTTAACAAAACTATAGAAAATCACCATTTATAGTGAACTTTCGCGTGAAAAATTGTGATTTTCCATAGTTATGTTAAATTCCCAAATAATAACTGGTTGGTGGTTTGGCACATGTTTTATTTCCATAACATATCAGAATGTCATCATCCGAACTGACGAAGTCATACTTTTCAGAGGGGTTGGTCAACCACCAACCAGATTTGTTCTCTCCCAAAATCGGATTCGTAAAAAATATGCGGAAAAATGTGTTGTTCCGTGTCGCTTTTCCCTTACACTCTTGCCAATTCTTTGATTGGATTGGATTGATGTAGCTAAACAAAAGAAACAATCACTTGACTGAAGTTCGTTTTCCAGTTATATCCCAAACATATCGCCTATATATAACTATATATAGTCTTTGGTTAAACCAGTGTTCCGCGTGGCTTCCGTTAAAAACAGCCAGTTTCAATAGCTCAGCCCGTCAGGAGCTCAGAGCCGATCATCACACGGAGGGGATGGCGGAAGAGTTCGCACAGCTGTCCCTTGCTTCGCAAATGGTGGTTTCATGGGGGATATCTACAGTTATGGCCATCTATTAGTTATAACTGGTTATAAATGGGATTATACATTCTGTAAATGGGGTTATAAGCACTTATAACTGGTAAAGGGCCTTAACTGTAGGTCAATTTCGGAGGGGTAGAAACTAATCCGTTAGTCTTTTGGTATTAATGGGAATATCTACGTTCACCAGCAAAGAATTTTATTTGTTGCAGGGGATCTATTAATGGGATATAAGTGTAGTTAACGGGATCTGTTACTGGGATATAACTGTAGGTAATGGGCTGGGTAACCATTATATCCCATATCTATGAATGGGATATCTAATGATTTAATAGATTAGTGGGATCTTAACGGGACTTACCCTCTGGTAAACATACAAAAAAAATACTTTACTTCGAGTGATCCCCACCCTGGCATTTCAAGCCATATATTCTGTCATATATTTTGACATTTTACCTGACCTGACATTCTATCTGACATCTATTCTGATATTCTATCTGGCATATCTTCCAGCATTTTATCTGGTATATATTTTGGCGTTCTATCTGGCATATATTAATTCTGGCATTCTATGTGGCATTCTTTCTCGCATGTATTTTGGCATTCTATGTGGCATTCTATGTGGCATATATTCTGGCAGTCTATCTGGCATATATTCTGGCAGTCTTTCTGGCATATATTCTGGCATTCCATCTGGCCGCTGAGATCCAGCGTTGCCCACTGAGCTCGGAAAGTCCCAGGTTGAGGTCCAGCGGTGCCCACTGGGCTCGGAAGGTCCCTGTTTGAGGTCCAGCGGTGCCCACTGCTCTCAGAACCTTGCGGTTGAGGTCCAGCCGTGCCCACTCAGATCGGAAGCCGGCAGTTGAGGTCCAGCAGTGCCCACTGCGCGCGGAAGTTGGCGAAGAGTTGGCAAGGCGGAAGTGGACGTGAAAGTGGAGGCAGAGCTGGTGGAGGAGAAGGGGGAGGACGAGGAGGAGGAGGAGGGGGTGGAGAAGAAGGAGGCGGAACAGCTGTGATAAAATCTAACAACCCTCACCTGGCAGGTGGGGAACTATGCGATATAGTGGATGTATACCTTCCCTGGTGGGGGATATGATGCGATACAGTGGTGATAACATGGTTGTTATAGTAACCCCCTCCATTTTTGATGGTAACCATACCGCCCATCAAAATGGTGAATTTGGGAATGGTTTATTATTGTTTTAACCGCATTATTCCTACTGGTTGGTGGTTTGGAACATGTTTTTTCAATTTTTCCATATATTGCGAATAATAATCCCAACTGACTTTCATATGTTTCAGGGAGGTTGAAACCACCAACCAGTTACCGGGGTTTCTTTTAGGGCCTTAGATTGATTCAATGGGATATGAATGTGATATGAATGGGATATGAATGGAACAACTGGGAGTTGATATAGATACTATACGGAAGTTTCTTTGGGGGTACCCCAAATCATCCAAGTCATGGATGACCACGGCTTAGTATTAAAACAACCATGGTGACTTGGAGATCTTCCATGGCTTAAGAACCCCACCATATAGAGCACCAACCAACCTAAATATTTGATTGGGTAGTGGACAGTTGGTGAATAGATAGATATTGATATAGTTATAATAAATAGTGGTCAGCTGACATGGATCATTCTGGGCATTTGAAAAACCAACATTCAAAATTCAATGATGCAGACTTGGACAAAAATGCTCAACCATTGCCTTCCATTGAAATGTTGGGTTGAGCCACTATAATTTTCCTGGTTTCCCGTTTTCCCAAGCATCGGCCGTTTCATATATTTCCACTTAAGTTTTTTCAAAACATGTTTGTGGTTACCCTCTGGTAAACCAACATAACTATGGAAAATCACCATTTTTAGTGGGTAAATCCACTATTTCAATGGCCATTTTCAATAGCTATGTAACAGATTACCAGAGGGATGGCTGTGAAACATTCGGATTGTTTTTTGCTCCGTAGCTCGGATCGCTCTTCTTCTTAGCTACATGATCAGTTAAGATTGTGTTTTTTAATATGCGGAGGTTTCGCAAACTGGAGAGTACCCTCTGGTAAATTCACATAGCTATGGAAAATCACTATTTTTTTAAAAGGTACGGTAAATCATCTATACATGGTCCATGTCTCATAGTTATGTTAGTTTACTGCAGGGTACCCACAAATCATCCAAAATTAGACCATTTAGTATTGAAATCTACAAGGTGGTGCCCTCCAAACGTTTTATTTATTGGTTTATAAACCCCATGAAAACTAGTTCGATATATCACCTATGAACCATATAGTGAAGTTGGAGTTCGGTGGCCCCCAACTGAACGCTATCATAAATCAGCTATAAATCCCATGAACAGCCCACATTTTCCTATGGTTTCCTATGGTCCAAACGGGGGCACCACCTTATGGTCTCCCGAAACCGGAAGCCGCAGCCGTGGTGACTCCTTCTCAGGTTTCAGTTGGATCCCCAGACGAAGTCACTGGGCGAAATTGCCGGCAAAACTTGGGTGAATTGCCGAGACCCAATGGACATGATGATTTATATATATATATATATTGTGTATTTATATATACTGAATATTAAAATGATATTAGTATACGGGCAATTGACATGAATTTTATGTTTCCATATATTGGTGATTTTCTAATGGAAAAGCCTATGAAAATGGCACCAATTGGCACCACTTTAGGAAACATCTAAACTATTTACCCTCTGGTAAACCAACAGTTTGCTATTGAAAATGGCCATAGACATAGTTGATTTACCTATCATTAGCACGGTGGATCTTTCCATAGTTATGTTAGTTTACCAGAGGGTAACCAATAGACATGATGATTTAATTTGATTTCCTTGAATATTAGTTGGGGTAATATACTGATTGTGTATATATATATATATGCATTTTCGGATAACTCATAGGATGTATAATCAACCGAAAGCCAACAAAAATATTTTGTAACATTATACACTTGGGCTCTTGGATAGCCATCAATCCAATTTCATAGGGATTTGTACATTTATGTTAGGGATTCCTCTTGTGACATGGATGACCATACTACTCCCATGACACATAAAAATGTACTTTGCACTGTATTTGAACAGCTAGCACGGTAGCACTATATATATATACATAGGTTTATTGGATAGGTGTACAGGATGGCCCCCCAGTTATAAGTTGGTTTGTATACCATTATAACCACAATTAACTATAGTTATATTTTATATCTACCATAAACTGTAGTTAAGCGACTTATAAGGCAACTTAGCTATCTTAGGGGCCCCACGCTATATGTTTAAGATTGTTTAAGTATATTTGTATGACACAGCTATAGTACTTTGCTTTGACGCAGCAGTGATTGCCAGGAATTCACTGTCCAACCTCCTATTGAATGGTGGTTGGATGCGCCGCCCATGGGTGGACATATGTCCTTTTGAAAGGGCCGACTTCAGCTTTGCGAATTATCCTGTTGTGCTTGAATTTGTTGGCAATCTAGGTTCTATAAAGTCACATAGTTGATGACTGATGACTATTGTTTCTCTCTGATGTTTCGCAGAGGCGCTCCTATATTATATATATATATATTATAGTTGCTATAGTTGGTTTTGAATATCTTTACGACTTGTCCAGACTCCTATTTAAGGTGATTACCCTCTGGAAACTTGACATAGCTATTGAACATGGACAATTTTTAGGTAATTTAAGAATCATTTACCCTCTGGTTATTTAACATAGCCATGGAAAATGGTCCATTTATAGATGGTGTACCTATTAAAAATGGTGATTTTCCATGGCTATGTCAAGTAACCAGAGGGTACTTAAAATAACATGGTCATTTTCAATGGCTATGTTAAATTTCCAGAGGGTACCGTTCTTTTCTGGCGATGTTTCCTACTCGGCGGAAGATCGTGAAAAGTGAAGTCCATGGCAGACCGAACTTCGGGTTTGTCTGAATCGTCCCAAAATAGCCTTATTCCAATCCAAAGGTTTTTCTTGAGGCACCATGATGATTAGGTGCCACATTGGAGGAGCGACAAAATTTGTGGCCTTGCCCTCAAGATTCTGAAGCATGTCGCTGCTACCTGCCACGAGAGCCTGCGAGGTCGCAGAATCGATTGAGCTGCAGCTGTCTTCACAGTGCAGTTCAGTAGTCAATAGTTTAGTGCACTTCTAGTGTGATTGCCTTATGATAAATGGGCCCAACACTTGGAACCTCAATGGGCCGCTGAAAATATGCAGTTAAGGCCCCAAATACCAGTTATAAGTGCTGAACTAACCCCATTTATAGAATGTATTTCATCCCATTGAAATAACCAGTTATAACTAATAGCCATGGCCATAACTGTGGTGCCCCCCCCAGTTATAAATGGGTTATAATCCCAGTAACTATAGATATATCACCTATAAACCATAATTATTGGACTTATAAACCAACTTAGCTAACTATGGGGCACTACCCTGTGAATATATTGAATACCAAACTGGGGCGACAATCCAATGCAGATCACAATGAGTTACCATCTCGCTCTGGACTGCGATGGGGTCACCCCACGGCAGGCTCAGATACATGGATATTATGGACACTATACAGTTATGGCCATGGCTATTAGTTATAACTGGTTATTTCTATGGGATTATACATTCTATAAATGGGGTTAGTTCAGCACTTATAACTGGTATTTGGGGCCTTAACTGTATGGATAAACTATGATTAAAATTGATGAATTACATTGATATTATGGATTGGTTAAAGGGAAAATCTACAGGAAACCATGGATTTTTTCCCATGAAATATGGAGGTTTCCTGCAAAAAATCCCTTCAACCAAACCATTGAACAAGCCCCAAATTCATAAGTTCACAATCCTCATCTTCCCCATTGAAGTGGCCAGAAACTGGCAGAAAGTATACCCCGTCTTCGTCAGATGGAACGATCCACTGACGACGATGACACCCGAAAATGACAGATTGGAAAATGATCGGGTGATCGAAGTGAAATTCTCACAGTTTTCAGGCCCGAAATACCAGTTATAAGATGGTATAAGTTGTACAAATGGGCTTATAAATGGCTATAAATGGTTTTAGATAACTATAAGTCAGATATAAGTCAGGAGATGTCACCCCAATTTATAAGAGTTATTATCACAGATCAGCTGAAATTAGTCAGAGCCCGGATCTTTGTGCAATTGACAGCTTGGTGCCGTGATGGAAAATCTCTGGATGTTGAGAACATGTTGATCTGACTGCTTTCTCACAGATGAGGATTGAGTAATCCCATGGTTCATGTATCTAATGTCATTTGATATCCCATAAAAAAGTCTAATCCATGGGATACGCGCAATGAACATCCTGGTGTCCCGGTATTTATAAACATCCTTACCTGAGATAAGATAAATAAGTTAAGTGGTGCCCAGATCAAGATCGATCTGATGATTTGTATTGTGGGGACTGGAAAGCACATATTTGCCAATTCCTGTCCTATTTGGGTTGGTTACAGTACTTGCTGTACGCCGCCAGATTCAACTCATCCAGTTTTGATTGTTTATTCACCACACTTACCATCCATGAATGGTTCGCACCCTGTGTTGGTTTCATTATACCAACTCAAACATAGAAGAACAGCTGGAAGCCGGGAAATTATGAAGTTGACATCATCTCGAACACCCTAGAAATCCACAAGTTTAGATGTTACATTCCCAACTTCAGTTTTGGAGGTTTTTTTTTTCCTACCCAGGTGCTGTGAATTTGGGAATGGTGTATTGTTGGCTTTGCCACGGTAGTTACAATTAAAGCCCGAAATACAGGTTTTACATGATTATATATTATTACATGGTTATTTCTCTGGATTTTTTTCATTCCATAAATTTATGACTGACTTATAACCGGATCTTGGATGTATTTCGGGGCTTGGATTCCAAGATTCCAATCCATTTCTTGCGCTTAGAGCTGCGCGCTGGGTTCGAAGAGCTGCAGGTTGAGTGACTTGCAAGTGGGGCAACGGCAAAGCATTGCCATCGTTCTGGCCATGTTCCGTGACTTGGCCATGGTTCATAGGAATATAAACGCAGGAAAATAACCACAAACAAATGCTGGGATATTATAATTAATTGGATGTAACTTACAACTCATGAATCATGTTAGATGTTAGCAATGTCACAAACCACCCATATTTTGATGGTGTATAGCACCCACTTAAAATCCATTTATGAGTGCTTTATGGTGTTAGCTCAAAGTCTTAGAGCAACCCTGAAATATACCCTCTGGTATCATCAAACATAGCGAGAATCCCATGGAAAATCAGCCATATCCAGATGAGTTTCCCATCTAATCTTAGTCAAGCAAGCATCCATAAGTTTGTATTCAACGGCCATTTCAGGAACCGATTGATTGGAGGTACCTACCATATATAAGGCCTATGGTTCAGGCCTATGTAAGGGAATCTCCCCACACAAATATGGTCTTATATGGTACAGTAAATCCATTTTAGGATCCTGAAATTCCCATTGATAGGGCCTTTTCTATGGCAATGACTGGGGTATGGTTTATCATTGTAACTTACCAAAATGAGTGGGGTAAACGGTAAACACAGCAAGTAAAGCCCGATGCTGGGGATCAACATCCAGACTCATATTTGTGATGAGTGGCAAGTATCACAGCATTCCCAAATGGCAGTTGCTTATGGCCAGGGTTTACCAGATTTATCTTGTGGATGGCCTGGATGACTGCATACTGTGGTTTACCCTCTGGTAAACTAACATAGCAATTGAAAATAACCATTTATAGTGGATTTTCCCATTGAAAATGGTGATTTTCCATAGTTATGTTAGTTTACCAGAGGGTAAGAGTGTTCTCTGTCGGACCTCAACCACGACCATCCACGCCCAGTGTTCCCTGCCGGACCTCAACCACGACCATCCCCGCCCAGTGTTCCCTGCCGGGCCTCAACCACGAACATCCACGCCCAGTGTTCACTGCCGGACCTCAACCGCGAGTATCCACGCCCAGTGTTCCCTGCCGGACCTCAACCACGACCATCCCCGCCCAGTGTTCCCTGCCGGACCTCAACCACGACCATCCGTGCCAGTGTTCCCTGCCGGACCTCAACCGCGAGTATCCACGCCAAGTGTTCCCTGCCGGACCTCATGTAGGAAGATATGGGACAAAGAATGTGCAGAAGAAAGTTAGAAAGAATGTCAGAAAGAATGTCAGAAGATATGCCAGAAGATATGCCAGATAGAATGCCAAATAGATTGCCAGATAGAATGCCAGAAAGAATGCCAGAAGATATGTCAGAATATATGCCAGAAGATATGCCAGATAGAATGCCAGATAATATGCCAGAAGATATGCCAGATAGAATGCCAGATAGAATGCCAGAAGATTTGCCAGATAGAAGCCAGAAAATATGCCAGAAGATATGCCAGATAGATATGTCAGAAGATATGCCAGAAGATATGCCAGAAGATATGCCAGAAGATATGTCAGAATATATGCCAGAAGATATGTCAGATAGAATGCCAGAAGATATGTCAGAATATATGCCAGAAGATATGCCAGATTGAATGCCAGAAGATATGTCAGATAGAGTGCCAGAAGATATGCCAGAAGATATGCCAGATAGATATGTCAGAAGATATGCCAGAAGATATGCCAGAAGATATGCCAGAAGATATGTCAGAATATATGCCAGAAGATATGTCAGATAGAATGCCAGAAGATATGTCAGAATATTTGCCAGAAGATATGCCAGATAGAATGCCAGAAGATATGTCAGATAGAGTGCCAGAAGATATGCCAGATAGAATGCCAGAAGATTTGCCAGATAGAATGCCAGAAGATATGACAGAAGATATGCCAGATCATATGCCAGAAGATATGCCAGATAGAATGTCAAATAGAATGTCAGAAGATATGTCAGATAGAATGCCAGAAGATTTGCCAGTAAGAAAATGTATAAATGTCATGGTGGGGATCACACGAAGTAAAGTATTTTTTTTCTGGCGGATTTTTACACCTTTTTCTTGGTGAATTTATTACCTTGGAGGGTTTTGAGTGGATTCACAGGACAACGGAGGGAAATTCTGGATCTCCGCAACCTCTTAGCAATGAGGGCTTCTGTTGATGTCGCCTCGAATAATCAGACACCCCTTAGGTACCAGCTGCACATGTCTTGCCGCATTGTTTTAATAAGTCGTCCTTGGGATGTCCCGGGGTTGTGTGCCCAAGCGAGAAATCACTGAATTCCAGCTTACCCTTTGGTAAACTAACATAACTATGGAAAGATCCACAATTTTTCGTGGGAAAATTCAATATAAATGGTGATTTTCCTTAGTTATGTTAAATTACCAGAGGGTATGTGTTTTGATTTAAATCTTTCATGAGATTCATATTCCATTGCTGTGTGCGTTCCGTCATGATGACTGTTGTCCGTTATCCTCTGGCTAAACTTCGGGCTTATACCAGCTCATCACTATCCTGGAAAGAATCT